GCTCGAGGCGCCGCCGAAGAAAAACAATAAAACGAGAATTGGCACGTCTGGCGAAACAGTTGACTGCCGTCAATTCAACTGGCCGACTTGCCAGGACGTGCATCTCACTATCGCATTATATGCGCGAATTATAATCGCACGTATCCGAACAACGCCGCTCGGACCATGTCACTGACATACCGTGCCCCCGAAAATGCTTAAAGTAACAATAAAATATGTACGAGTGAATTTTTTTTAACATGACGTCTTTGGTTTAGAAATTTGTGAAAATTTTATTATAATATGTTACATCATTAAATTAATTTGTGCAGATTTATTGATGGTTGATTTAAAAAATACATTTCAAATATTTATCTAACAATTTTTTCATTACATTTGATTATCAAATGTTTGCTCTTAATTTGCTCAATCTTTTTTTTCTGTAATAGATGTTGAAAGATGTAATTTTTTTTTTAAAGAGAATTAATCATGTAACAACTTTGATAAATAAATTACACACTCATTCATTATGGAAGCATCGTAAGGGGCTTTATGGTGAATTTATTACTTGATTGTATTCTCGATAAAATCGCATTTCTTCTACTGAGCAGCGGAGCCATTCGCTTAAATAAATATTTCCTTGGCACTCTTTCGACCCGGTTGTGGTGACAAATAAGATATACTCTTCTTTCAATTCCACATTACAATTGTTTCTGTTATCGCAACCGACATAAAAGCCATGACACAGTTATAATGGCCTACACAAAAGTGAACTGCATAAAAAAGAATCTATAAATAAAACAAATTTTATGTCCTGATACGATTTTATGAGATATCGATAAATCCATAAACATAATTTTGGTAAACATGTTTGTAATATGTATAATACATTATTTTTTATTACCATACGGCACGCGAATAGAACAATGTTACACATGCAATATTTTATGGAAAAGCGGCACATCAAATAAGCAAGTATTAAATATTAAAATTTAACAAATAAAAAGCTCACCTGCCGTCAAATTCATTTTATCGTTTCGTTGCACGTTGTAGATAATTAAGAGTGCGTGACTTACAACTTGCATCAATTGTAATATCAATGTTGCACAGATCTATAAACACCAGACTATGTATACATTTTAATCTGGTACGATAAGAATACATATTTATGACAAATTTTTCAATGTTACTCTTAGTAATGTATTTGTCGATTATTTAATCATTAACGATAAGTAAACGATAATTATATTTATGGTTCTGGTTCATAACACAGACGGTGTGAAACACTTATTGTTAGTCAAAATTTTCGAGATTATCAATGCAATGACATGCTATGTCTGCATGCACTTCGAACATATTTTGAATTCTACATATTCACGCAACTCGTTTAATTATTATCTTTTTATTTATCACATTCCTTTCAATTATCTAATAACGTTTATTATATTCACTTTGAATGAAGATTTTAAAGATGTTTACTTTTATCTTTGCATTTTTCTCATTTTTATTTAACGACTATATTAAACAGAAAGAGAAAGAGAAAGAGAAAGAGAGAGAGAGAGAGAGAGAGAGAATATAAGGATATTCATAAAGAGAGTATAAAAAGGCATTTTATATATTACTAATTATACTTACTATTTTTCAAGTGACATTTATAAAAACTTACTTTTTATAAATTACGTTTTTTTTTTACGTTATAAAAAACTTATATAATACAGTTTCTTCACTTTTCTCCCATAATTTATTTCGGCAAAGTTATTTGGTGCAGGAACTTTGCACCGATGATTTGAAAAAATAATATAATATAAATGATTAATTTGCATGTATTGCGAAAAATGTTTTTCTTTATTCTGGAAGTACCAGAAATCAGCGAAAAACATGACCGGTTTTTAATTGGACGAAAAGAAATCGCAAAACAACAATCGTTTTCTGCCCCGAAAGTTTATCGTCACCATATGTAAGCCTCTCTCTTGTGTTGATTAAAAAGAGAGAGAGAGACACGTCGTAAAACACGATTTAATAAAGTACAGATTGATTACCGCAAGAGAGTACACGATATTACCAAATTTATCATGAAACAGAATTTAAAAATAAATTTAATGCACGACGTGTAAAAGTAGTAAGCATATATTGGGTCGGAACAAAAAAATTTGTAACGTTATTTCATTTGTACCTACATGTTTTAAAAAAATTATAAACAATAAGACAATATTAACAATTATAATAATAGCTTTAACGAAGTTATGAATAATTAAAGTCGAAATGTATTCCAATATAAAAAAAAATCTTATTATTAAAAAATATTTAGGAATATTTAAAAAATAATTTTTTAGGAAAACTTTAAACTTTTACATTAAAAAATTGCAAATTTTCGCGTTTTTTTAGCAGATCCACAAAATGAGAAGAAAATTTCCCATTTAATCCAGCTCGTAATTTTTTATATATGTAAAATTTGTCGAAAGTAAAGTTTTAAAATTCTTTTTTTAATTTAAATTTCGTTTATTTTTAACAAAATTACAGCTGCTTAAATTTTGAAATTTGTTGCGCTACAAACTTTTGCTCCAATTCAATACTTCCTTTTTTATGTGCGTATCATATATTTGTGAAATAAAAAAAAATCAAATAAAAACACGATTAAAGCAATTAAAATAATCAAAATGAAAACATTACAAATTACCGCAAAGTAGTTTGATTTAATAAATTTTTCATTAAATCCGGTATTAAACGGTTGTTTTCCTGTTAACAGAAAGTTGACTTTTTAACTTCTTATTCTATATATATTCCAACAAAATATATATAATTAATTGTTAAATCAATTATTCAATGATGGTAAAAAGGAAAAATAAAATGTTATTCCGTGCTCATCGAAAAACCATTTATTTTATGGAATAAATATTTTTCTATCTATGTTGTGTTTCTACCTAGGAAGTACACATTATACATATAAGTATGCATTTTTCTGCCGTCCTCGTTCGCTATTTTGGGAGCGGGATATAAGCAAATCCATTATTTTTTTAATTATTGATACACTGAGACAAACAAACTGAGAATGGAAAATGTAATAGATACGAAGAAGAAAAAGAATAATCGGAAAAGAATGGAAAGACAAGGACAGCTTGACAGAGGAGGGGACGAATTATAAAAAAAATCAATTTTCCAAGGAGCTTTCTCTTACGTTCTAAATGATCGCTTTATAAAAATCGCAAAGTTTTTTTTTTATAAATTCGTGTGTGTGTTTTGTGTGCGTGCGTGTGTGCGCGCGCGCGCGCGCGCGCGTGTGTGTGTGTGTGTATTTGTGTTTTATGTTGTATGGGTACGTGTGTGACTTTTTTCCTTTACAATCATATGAAGTTTAGGGACGGTGCGCACAAGTCCATCGTATATATCGTATACTATTTTACAAAAATGTAGCTACAGTGCACTTGACTCGAAGCTGAGGGGAAAACGTGGAGTTAAGTGTTAGCTCTGATAGCATGAGAAGTTTCAAGTATGTTCCCGGATTTTGAAGATTGCTATACAACGAGGGATTGAAACCGGTAGAATCTCGACGAGTTCAATTCTTAATATTACATAGGTTTAGAGAAAAATGGCGCTTTGCTTATTAAACGTTTGTTTTTCATCGATTAACTGCGAAGATCTGAATCTATCGAAATTATATTGGTTTCAATCGCTACACACATAACTGGAATTGTTTCAAGCGTCGGGGATATGTCTATACATAATTGCGGCACTGATCCTCTCTATCACCGTAGTAATTAGTAGGGATTATGCCCGAGGATCAGGGACGGATCCTAATGAATCTATAAAAACTAATAAGAGCGCTTGTCGAGATATATACCCCTAGAATATAATTTTGTCTAAAAACGCTTGACAATCTATCTTTTTTTTTTTCTTTTTTTAGATTGTACAACGCGTGGAATATAGGAAGGGACACATTCCAAAAAAAAGTCGTCGTCCCTTCTTGACGAGTGCATCACCCGACGCGCTAAAATGCAGCTATTAATACCGTAAGTTACGAAGAAAGCTACGAAAATTAGGCGCGCGTCGCGCATTCGTTCGCGCGATTAATGTTTATTATTTATCTAGAAATAAACGCTCGACACTCGTTCTGCGACCATGATGAATGACGGGAACGTGGATATAAAATTGCCAATTGCCGCGTTATAAAAAGTTCCGAGTGCAATTAGCCGAATATTGGCGCCGTGTAATTACAACTACTCGCGTTAGAAAAACTAGGAAAGTTGAGGTTCTTCGTCAATATATGAGTAATATCCTCGTTGATCCTCCCAGGACGTAGGAGTGTCAGCGAAGCAACACCACATTCTTGCCTGCTACTTATTTACATAATTCGATACGCTCTCTCGCACACGCACTCTCACAATTCGCTAAAAAAAAAAAAAAAAACGATCATAGTGACAGAAACGTTTCTATATATATATATATAATATATTGCAGAAAGACGAGGGGGGAGAGAGAAAAAAACCATTAGAAAAAAAAACAACGATTTTACTGTACACCGAGATCTGTTGTCCAACACGTTTCCACCGATCGTCGACGTCCTCTGTTTTAATAACGCGTTTGGATGAAAGTAAAGAAATAGGAGAGAGAATTACACATTTTGTGAACACAATCAGGCACGAAAATCGCCCACATTGCATCCCTTCGTAATCTATCTGGTCTCGCGAGCCGCGGCGTAATAATGAAAGTTTCAACAAAGTTTTGTTTGCGCTGTTGGAGTTCTGAAAATAACGCTTGCGCAATAAGTGCAAACATTCTAAATATCCCATTCTATTATCTCTTAGTTTAGAGGAATAAGAAATTCGCATTTAGGGAGTTCCGATTAGAGGATTCCGGCGTAATTAGGATCGTGGATCAAGTGCAAACGTATCGGCGTCTTAAAAATAATACCGTGACTCTCTCTCTCTCTCTCACTCTCTCTCTCTCTCTCTCTCTCTCTCGCTCTCTCTCTCTCTCTCTCTCTCTCTCGCTCTCTCTCTCTCTCTCTCTCTCTCTCGCTCTCTCTCTCTCTCTCTCTCTCTCTCTAGGAACTATCCGCCTTGCCATGAACCATGGACCACCGTCGAGGTGCCTCCCGCTGACACGGCGCGAGTCCCTCTTTGGACTTCTCTTGGCATCCAGCACAGTCTTTGAGGGAACTCCGCGAATCACCAAACACCGCCTATCCGCGCACTTCGTGTTCCTCTTTCTGCGCTCCAAAGAGATCCGCATCACGCAATCACTCTCCGAACAAGGCACTTTCAGTCTATCGGATGAGGAATCGCCGAGAACACGGCGATGACAATCGACGACGATTGACGAGGACAATGACGATGATCGTCGAGATTGATCAAAGGGAGAGCATCGCGGTATCTGTGCGGAACTCTCGGCGTGGCCAACATTGCTTTCGTCCTGTCAGAAACGAAGGTGGACTATGAACACCCGCATTTCTCGACGACCATGCCCGGCAACCGCGAGAACACGATCTGATATTCGTTGTCAAAATATAACATTGTGATTTCGGACAGCTTCCTAGGTGCGCAACATGGTCCGGTGTTGTTCGGCGGTTCCGCCAAGCTGACGATATGCGTGTTCGGATAAGCCGGAAGAAAAGCCATTGGACAGTCACCCGAACAGTAATTGGCATCATATCTGTGACACAAAGATCCAGGAACCGGCCGTTAATGCAGAAGTTTCGGTTCATCAAATAATACTAATTAAAAATAATACTTATAAAACAAAATTTATCTCAACTTCACATTCGTTGTATTCCTCATTAAGCATCATCGTTAAATATCACCTTCGCAAATTAACTCGAAATATACACCACTATTGCATAACATAAAGTATTTATAGACCGAACGTGCGCGAATAACGCTTTAACGCTGTTGATGTAGAACTGTTCTACGTGCCAGCGAGAAAATCGCAGTTCCTTCATTTGGACCCAGTTTGGCTCAAAATGTTTTCCTTCGCCATAGAAATCTTTACGAGTACGTGCTTGACCGACGATGCATTAATCATTTTATGAGTCGCAATATGTTCTCACAAAAGTACACACATTTCAACTATTTTATTAAACAAATGCAAAGTATATATCGCCCTAATTTGAGTTTCAAAGAAAAATTCCATTATTTTCATCGTACATTTATTTATTGTTAAATCACTACTTGATTTTTTTAAGAGATTTTTCGTAATATAAAATAAATAAAATTTCAAAAACTATCTCACACTTTTCGTGATTGAAAAAATCTTTATTAATAAAGATGAAAAGAAATAGAAGAATCACGTAACTCACTTTTTGGGTGCGATTATCCAATCCCAGCCAAACTTCTCGAAGTCTACCGTGAGTTTGTACCGGCAACATCTAGTCTCCTGGGTGGCCTCATCGCAATTGAGTCCCACGTTCCTCTTAATTCTGGAGCCTCTTCGCGAATCGAGTTCCTGCATTTGCACTTCGAGATATGGAGCGTATTCCGCACCGGGATTGGTCTCAACCAGTCTAATCAAGTTCCTACGATGACTGCCGCCAGGCCCTGTGATCTTCAAGGCGACTCCCAGATTATCTCTCGGATGCTTGAACCACTCCGCCACCATTCGTCTGAGCTCGATCGTGATCCAGCCACCCCGCCGTCCAAACGGTCGAGGGTGTTTCGTGGTCAGAGGAGGACCCAGCAAAGTTCCGCCTGTCTCGGTCGTTCCCCGAAGAATCCTCTGCAACGTGATCGTCACCGGACTGGCGTCTTGACTCTCCAGATCAATTGGCTCACCGAGCTCCGTTTCCTGATTGACACCCGATATCCATAGAGACAACTCTGCCCTGGTAACACGGTGTTGGACAACCTTATCGGAAAACTTGAAGTACAACACCTCAAAGTTGCTCTTCGAGTGCCTTAGCCTTTGATCTGAAAACATGAAGTTAACAATACATCAGTCGTGAGTATAATTCTAGCAAATTGTTACAACACAAGAGAAATTCCATAGAGAAACCTTCCTTATGATTTCCTCTGTAGGATACTTATTGTGTAATGTAACGTGATTGTACAATAATTCGCCATTTATTTTTATTTTTTTTTTAATGAGTTATTTTGAAACAGTAAGTATGATTATTTAGTGCTGCGTAATTATATCGGAAAATTCCAAATAGAAGATACAATCTCATGAATAGTCTCGTCTGCTAAATGTGCCGTAACGACTAAACGTTTCTTTCTCGATAGTTGTGGCCCACGTGTAGACGGATTTTTCGTATTTTTTTTTTTTTTAAATCAGAGTCCGACAACACACACGGTTTGCTTGTTGTTTGCGTCATTTATTATTCAGGAATGAAAAGATTCTCGCTGGTCGATACTGCATGTTGCATAGCTCGATAAAGTATCGCTGCGCTGTTTAATGGCTCCATGGCCACTTGGTGCTATCTACATATAAATATTGGATATGTGAATGAATAAAAACATAAAATTAAGCAAATATTTGTGTTTGCAACGCAAACATATGTTTGTGGTAAGCTGCATAGGTGATATAGGATAAAAAAATATTTTGATATGGATACAACTTTGTGGTAATGCATTGCGATCCTCCGTGAGCACAGAAATGAGATATTTGTCTGTACTTTTACGCATTATTAAAATCTCGGCATGTTGCAAGATACTTTTACGTCATTAAACAACGTCACTAATTTGAGAATGAAATACATGAAAATAGAGAACGAAAGATTTGCGCCATGTTACAAAACTATGCGGCTTTTTTGAGCTCCTGGTAGATAAAGAAGCAAAAAAATAGTTTGCGTTCGCAAAAGTATTAGGTATCATTGATCAAGATGCTGAAGCAGTATATGATAACAGCTTCATTAAGTTGGTGCGAGGTTATCGGTTATAGAAAATGAGCACGATAATCATTTACGTATCGAGCTATTTAAAGCGAAGTGGACATAAAGTTGAACTATTTGAAAACGTAGCGTTATCTTTTCATTAATCGTACGATTAACGTAGTTATTGGCAATTAGATCGATCGTGCATTTCATTATCGAGGATGCTGCATTATGCGTAATTCAAGTGCACTTGTCCAGCTGATATGTTCTCCGTCGCGGCAAATAATTATTTCTAATTTGACCGATAACAGGGCATAAGCACTGATGATAAGGCGCGAGCCTTATTAGAGAAACACTGTTTCAAATTGCGGATACGAACCTAATCAGTTGACGACTTTCTACGATCGGCCGTATAACGGAACGACGTAACGTCGTTAGCCTCTGCGCGATTTAGCCTTTTTATGAATGGGAGAGCCCATGAATTACGCGCAATAATCTCGTACGGGTACAGGTACCTACATACGGTCGCGGGCCGCGACGGGCGGCTCCTTCAAATAAGTTTATCAGAGAGCAGCTTTTGCGATACTTCCTCCACCGGCCGAGATGACTTTCCCGACCGATCGAACGAGAAACGCGCGTTTCGTGCGTCTCTTTTTCTGACTTATTCTGGCTTATCGGCAGCAATTTAATAAACGCGTTGTAAAGCGCGTTTCCTTGAAAATTATAATTTTATTAACGATGCGAAATTTCCGACGTTACGTTATCATAAAGCTCAAGATAGATCGGATAGAACGATTACCCACACTCTGTGTTCTTTTTTGCTCCAACAACGACGATATCGCGGACACGTCTCCGGTATGGAATATCGCCTCGATTCGCAACCGACACGTGATTGAATCAGCGCATAATCGGATTGACATGAGGAAGTCAAGCTGGAGACTTTTTCGGGGTCTTCGGGTCGCTTTCTCCGATTGCAAATGTTCGTAGATAAACGAACGAAGGACACGGATTAAAGTAAAATTGTCACACTTCAATTTCTTACGACCTTATTAAAGGTAGCTAGCTTTTCAATATTTATATATCCTTCCGCGTGAATTAATCCAGAAAAACTTTAATCTCTTCTTGGAGCTTAGACTCGTTTAATTTCATTCACAGAAAGCAATAAAGAGGAAGGAAAAGCTGGGTAAACTAATCTATCTCACTTCGCGAACAGAAATTGCGAAACTTCTGCTTCTTGGTATATTAATTATCGATATCGTTTTACTCGTTTCGCTCATTACTATACTGCTCCTACGAGATCGAGACAAGCTGATACCGCGACTCTGCATCGAGATCGCGCAGAACAACCCGGCAAAACCTTAAAGGGACGCGCGACGTGGCCGGTTTTCAAAATAAGAACATCCACCGACTTAGAAAATCCTCCTCGCTGGACGGCGAGTCGCTACGCTCGCAAAAACACTTCACAAACGCCCGCGCATAGTTTGCTCGTGGCTGTTCTCGCGATCGGAGGAAGAGGGGGATCCCAGCAATAAATCAGGAAGAGAGCTCGCGGCGGAGTCGTGCTCGGATTTCTTGCCGATCGGCGCTCACGCACGTGCGTCCGATATTTACCCTGATGACCGACGTTAAACTCGACCCCGGATCCCCTGCGTCCTCTGCGGAGAGATCGACCGACGCAGACCGCGGACGGACGGGGATCGATCGATCGATCGATCGATCGATCGATCGATCGATCGATCAATCAGCGACGGGGACACGGATAACGCGCAAATGATAAAAAAAGGAGGAAAGAAAGAGGAGCAGCAGAAGGCAGATTTATATACACGGCAGGGGCCGGGAGACTCTATTCAGGCCATCGCTTGGCAAGACCGACCGCTTCCACGAAGGGTAAAGCCACCTCAAATCGTACCGTTATACGCGAGCAACGTTTTTCATCCGATTCCCCGATCAATCAGCGACTCTCGCCGCGTATCGATATCGATGCCGCGACTCTGTGCGTATCTTCTAAGCCCGTCCTGGTATTCGGACTGGTTCCTCCAGCGTGCCGCGCTGCTCGTCGCGTAAGAAGTTTTCCATGAAGCTTATGAATCTCGGACATTTTCCAAATGTGTAGTGCCGACTGGACTGACAGGTACGAAGAGATTTTAAATAACTCGAAGAATTATTTTCATAATTATACCGTGAAAATGAATTGAACTGTTTTCGAGTAACATCAATTCTTTCAAATTAAATTTATAACGATATTAGAATAATAGTGGCTGATAGAATTTCAGCATCAAAACTACAATAATTGAATAATTATTTTTTATTACGTGCAATCAGAACTATTAATTTATTAATTGACTTGTTAATTTCGACCGTCACGGAATAAAAATTAATTATTCAATTATCGTAGCTTAATGGCTGAAATTAATTCACTGTTTTTATAAATAGATGAAATGAGAGACTCGAAAGAATCTATCAATGAAATATATATTTAAAAAGCTAATCAGAGCCAACGCTAGCTGTTTGGGTGCACAAAAATCTCTGTATTCGTGTGAATGTAACAATAACGAAGTAAATATACGTTCCAACTTTTCGTTTAGAGCCTATTTCAACATAAAATATAATTTAAATTACATGTTAAACCTATTTTGAACAAAATTCAAACGTATATTTATTTCGAGAATAAAGAGATTTCTGTGCACCCAAATAGTTAGCGTTGGCTCTGATTGGCTTTCATATACGAGTATATATTTCATTCACTGTTATTATAACATAATTACAAATTTGAG